TCCTTATTTTCTGTTGTATTTCCTGTCCAGGGAAGAAAGATGACATCTAATACAAACCTATTCTGTTGCACAGATTGGAAAATCAAGTAAGGACTGAGACCTGTGTTTCCTTTTCCTGTCTCTCCACACTGGGCACCAACCAGTGGACAAGCCAGCCTGCAAATCTTTGTATTTTGTTGCATAGATAATGCTTTGAACACTCAGTTACGAGTTTCTCTGCAATGAGAAGCTGTTCATTTGCTTCCAAACACCCAGTGTTCAGGGATATTTGCCATCCAGAAATCTTAGACAAATACTTGTTGCTTCTAAGCACATGCTTGCCATATGAAAAGCAGATCTGATGAAATGATTTCTCCATCCATTTGGGTGACAGACGTGGYTTGTTCCCTGCCTGGGTGTGTGGGAGGGTTTGCTGGACCTCTGGCTTGCAAACTGGCTGATTTTAGATAGCTGAAGTCAATCTGGCTACTCAGTGAAGAAATTCCAGAGAATATATCACACAGTGTCAAGATGACAACTCAGTGGGAGTCTGATTTGTTGAGCAGTAAAACTTCCTGCTTATGCAGCTGGCGAGGCAGTAATGTACAGAAACATTACATGGGAAGCTGGAATATGGGAAACCAGTGACTTTCACAATATGACATTGCTAAGCAAAAAGCTGCTTTTGAAACCCAGTGTTCACATTTCCAATTAGTTTGCCTCTAGCTCTCATGCAAGGAAAGTCCTCATGCTGCCGGGAAGGGAAAAGAAAGGAGGAGGGAAGAGGAGCAAGCAGAGCTGGAGGAATGAGTATGAATTATATTTCACACTGTGAATTGGCTATAAATCCTGTCTGCAGGAATTATTGAAATGGAGAAGTAGTTATCTCCTAAGTTTGAGATCCAATCTGCAAAGTCCCAGCGTCGGTGCGATGATTTATGCGACACGAAGTCATCAGGATTGAGCCCGACACAATAAAACAGACGCACACAGAAACAATTCTCGGTTTTAAATGGTGAGCAAACCCAGGTTTGTGCTGCATRGCCATGGGGYAGTGCYGAATCAGGGGCTGAGGTCAGGCTCYAGGTGAGTCTGGAGWGCTGGAAAAGGGAAGATGAGGATGCTCAGCGCTGTTCTCCGTGCCCTCCGCTCGCTGATGAGCTCCAGAGGGAGCTGTGGCTCGCGTTTTTCTCTGAGATGCGCTCGGAAGAAACAGGCAGCACAGGAAAGGATAAATGTGTGGTCCCATGAATCTTTCTTTTTCTCTCCTTCCTTTCTCCCTCAGCATTTCCTAAGAAAACTCAGCTTGTATGTGCTTTCAGTTTTAAAGATTGTTCGTAGGGCAGTGCTATGAAAATACATGTAGTACATAAAGGAAACCTGGTGTGTTGATAATTTTGGTAAGGATGCAGTAGAAATCGGTCAGAACCCTGCTTTAAAGCCTCATGAAAAGCAGTGACATCCCAGGATTGTTAAAGCTGCGTGTTTTTCAAAAGGGAATTCAAACCACTGCTTAAACAGTTTTTCTTTAGTGTTAACACCCGAGTGTGTTTGYTGGATGCAAAGTTGATCCAGCAATATATTTTATTTTGCAGTGCTGCCAGCATTTGCCTCTTCCCTCTCAACAAGACTGATTACACTGGAAACAATCCTTCTCAAGTGAGGATACGAGGTTTAGATTGCTGAGGCACAACCACACATTTCCCTGTCAGCGCTGCCACCCGCACGCCCGGGCTGTGGGTGTCTGCTCTGTGTGATCACCAGGCACTTAGAGCAGCTCAAACTGGCTGATTCACACTTTTTGGGGTTTTGGATTGATGTTTATTTAGATACAAAACACAAACTTTCAGGCTGCATGCCCTTCTCCACACACTCAGGGAGCAAAGGAGAGAGAGCYCAAATAGAAAAGATGTGGTGCCACCACTCTGTCCTGCACGTTTTGGAATTAGAAATTCCAGACTGTACAAGAGTCAAACAAAAAATGCTAAGGCAGAAATTYCAGATGAAATGTGAAAATCCTGATTTTATTACTTAAAATAAATAAATAACCTATTTGGGCTCAGTTTAAAAATAGCCTGTCTTTGATGAGCTGTGTGGCTTTTAGTTTTAATTATCTCCTTCAATTGAGAATCTGAAGCTGCCAGAATTAAACAGAAGCACTTCATTCTCTGTCCATGCAGGTGAGATATTAAGAAGGAAAGAAATGTCTAAAGGCAGTGGAAACAATATCAACATAGCAAACAATGACAAAATTGAGTAAACTGCCAATTTGTCTGCCTTAATATTAAGTTTACTCACTCTATCTTGATAGGCTTTATGAGGCAGGTAATAAATCCACCACAAATTTCTAAGATTATAGACTCAGTGTAAGTACATAGTAAAGCTGATTTGCTGTCAGWGGTGCTTGAAACTGCACTAGAAGTGTAAAAGTACATAAGGATGCTGCAAATTCACAAAGAACAATTAAAATAATGATAAACCTCCTCACAAGGAATTGTTTTTCTCAGRATTGTCACATTCCTCATTGTGGCTAAAACTCCTGCACATTTCTCATCGTGGGGTCACCACTGAGCTGTGGTTTGGGCACAGGTTCACCTTTAGCTGCCTCTGACATTGTCCTGCTGCCCTGGAAATGGGAGCTGATGCAATGTTAAAATTCCAGTAAACTCCGTGTCTGATCACAGCTTTGCTATCCTGATGTGTGAATTCTTTTCCTCCCTCTTTGTGTGTGGATATTACAACTCTGTGCAAGCTGTAATGTCCTGTGCAGCTCAGATGGAGTCCAGACAGAAAAGATGCTTAAATCCAGAAAAAAAACCCTTTCTGTAAAGTAGAAATCTATTGTTTTTGTCCCTGATTCCTTCTTGCCATACCCATTCCAGGCAGGTCAGTGGAAGCACAAATGGTTTCCCAAGTGGATTTCTGAGCTCTCAGACACACAGCCCATGGGGTTGTCTCACCTTTGCACACTCAGATACCCCAGGTGGCCCCAGAACTATCMAAATTAACTTGATAAATGTATAAATACAGATGTGTTTACTGCTAGTGATGCTTCAGAATGAGCCAAATTACGTATCAGCTCTTTCTGGAATGTCAAATGGATATTATGGTAGTTTTTATATATGTTATTTAAGAAAAAAGGGGTGGGGTAATGGAACTTCATCATGCTAGGGATTTATTCTCCACTTTTTTTTTTTATTTTTCTGTGTGTGAATGAGTCAGGAATTTGTGCCTGTGTTTACACTTTGAGCCTTTCAGTGCACATCACATGTCAGCTGATCCCACAGTCTGGTTGGTGTCTGTGCCCATTGGAAAATGACATAAAATCTTGTTTAAAAAAAAGACAATATGTGTCATGACATTTGAACTCTGAGAGGTTTATGGGACAGAGCAGCCTCCCACTGCTGGGATCACTGGCTTTCACCACTTTGTGYGTGGAGGAAAGTTTGCAGAGTTCAGCTGAGTTTGACTTCTGCTGTGCCCTGCAGTCCTCTKCTCCAGAGGAGCAGCAAAATCTGGAACCTCTGCCAGAGGAGAGAGAGAAGTTATTTTATATGACAACAATCAGAAGTTTCTAAGAGAAAATTGCTTGTCATAAAAAGCTTGTGAATAAATGACTTCTTTGATGGATTTTGATACTTGCTGTTGATTTTAAGCAAGAAAAAAAAATCTTTTCTCAGCATTTTTCAACAATTAGCAGTCAGTGGCCAGTAAGGGTCAGAAAAAAATAGTATTTTCCTTTTATTTAATTATATTTATTGTCATTCATTACATTCACAGATAGTTTATTWAAGTTTTTTTTTTTTATARCACTAGGCTAAATAAACCAGTTAAATAGCAGTTATTGAAGTAGAATAGAAGCTTGGATCAGACAGAACAAAAACATTTTCATCATCTCAAAAAAAGGTTTTTGCAAAAGATGATACCAAGATGGGCAACAAAACCCCAGAAACTTTTGGAAAGTGGAAAGGAACCTGCTGTGAGTTGGTGGAGTTGGGAGCATTGCAGGGAATGCTTTGTTTGACTGAAATCACCATCAGTGCTTCCCTTTCATCTGCCTGGAGATGTGGCAGGGTGTTTAAAGCTGGAAACAGCACTTTTCTAATGTTCTCTAACCTCAAAAACAAGATGCCAAACATAAGGTTTTTTCCTCCTTTTTTTCTCCCTCCAGCACATTCCTGCCAGAACAGAGAATTCAATTGTGCACTGTGCATCACGACTCTCCCTGCTGAAGGAGGGRAGAGCTGCAGCGTGGGGAATGAGAGGGCTTTTGTTGCTGCAGGGAATTTTTTTACTGGCTTTTTTTCCTCTGTGTGTGAGAGACATAAAACGCTCTGGAAATGTACAGATTCTTCCTGCCAAGAATGGTTGTTTTCACAGCTCCCCTCTTGCCAATTTCAAACTGATTAAGAAATAATAATAATAATAAAAAAAAAGTTTTCACGTACATATCCTAAACTCCCTGGCTGACAGATATTGTTGAGCAATTGAGTCTGTAAAAGTGCCAAAATAACCTTTTTCCCCAGAAGAATGGAAGAATCAAATATTAATACTGGTGGTAATGCGAAAAGGGAGTTTTCAGTGACAAGAACAAATTCAAGGCTGAAGTGCTCTTAACCAATTACCTTAATTAAGCTGAACTATGACGTTCTAGTATTTTTAAGGATCTTAGTCAGCTTCTCAGCCTTTGGCTTTAATTTTATCCCYCAAAAACCTTTAATGAAAAATAATTATTCCATCTCCAAGTACGAGTGTTACTCATTTTGAATGCATGAAATATTTAGAGAGGATTCCAGCAAAATGTTCTCCTCCCAACTTTGACTTGACTTTATGCTGTTCTAATTAACAAGATGGTTTTGGGTATAACATAGTGTTACATGGGCTCTGACAGATATATTGGTGATCACAGCATAAATACAGGCTGAATAGTCTRTGGAAATTGCACAAAAAGGAGAAAAGCTGTTTAGGAGTCAGAGAACAAAGGGAAAAAAAGGAAAAAAAAAGGGAAATGTGTAGCTCACTTTTCTGGCACCTTCTCCCAGCGTAGCCCTCGGCACAGGAGCAGACATTGGCTTGGATGCAGTGACCGCCGTTCTTACAGGGGGGAATGCAGACAGCTGGGGAAAAGAAAGGAAAATGCACCAAAATTCACATGGGGGATCAACTTTGACAAAACTCAGGCTGCTTATTGAGGTGTCTGTGCTGGGAAAGCTGCTCACAGAGGTGTTTCTGGAGCTGGGAAGGGAAGGTGTTTGAGCAGATGCCTGGATAGAGGCTCCAATTCTGTGTTTGTGGAAAGAATGTGGGACATGATTCCTTAGCATCCAAAGCTCTCTTAGACACTTGCAGTTAAGTGGTCAGAATATTCCCAAGAGTCTGAGGATTTTAGTCCTCTGTCAAAGGCCTTCCTCAAGGGCTTTTGCCAGTGAAATAGAGATCAGTGTTGGACATTTGCTGTCTTGGCCTTGGTGCTGTTTCTTCCCCCTTTCTCAAAGGAGCAGAAGGGAAGGCTTTGCTGTTCTTCAGCATCCATCCTCTATATCCTCATATCAATTCCAGAGCCCACAAAAGCAGATATTCATTTTCAAGTTTTAGCTCTGCCTAAACTATAACACTCAAGGGCAAAARTTTCAAATCACCTAGATGCTGAAAATCTTCTGTGTTCAACACAAGAGAAAGATCATCAAGTTACAGTCTGCGTAATTTTCACTCTCCCCTTCACCCCCAACATGATAAAAACAAAGAGTTTCCAGCGAGCTCCATTTGCAATTAGATTTCTGTGTGTGAATCGTTCACTTGCAAAAATATCAGGACCACATTCATCTAGGAGCTCCAGGGAAACAAAAGAGAGAGAGTAAGAACAAAGAACTTTTAATATTGAAGTGGTTTTAGTAATAAGGGTGCATTTATATTCCCAGATTCAGGAGAAGTTATTAGAGCCATATTCAGAAAAAAAAGCAAAGATGGGGATCTTCCAGCTATTTGAGCCCAAAGTTCTCTTTCCTGTATGTTCTGCCTGAGATACTGGGTTATTAAAGGATTAATTAATTTGACTTCTGCAGCACAGAGTGAGCAAGGAGCCCAGGATTCTGCTAGCCTCAGTTTAGAGCTCTCAGCCTGGGACAGTGATTCAAAATCAGGTCCTGCTCTATCAGAGCAATATTGGATCAGATTTTTAATCAGGGGTCTGATAAAGTCCTACAGATCTCTCCCATCCACAATATTTTAAGGTGGTCAAGTAGGTGTTATTGTGAGCCTCATTTGAAGGAAAATGATCACCTGGCTCTGAAACACAGAATAGTACACAAAATAAACAAATACAGCCATGCTTTTACATTTAATTGAATAGTTGTTAATTAGTGATATCACTGACTYGGGTAGTTTTAGACTAATTATTAATGACATCACAAATAAGTGTTTGCTCCTTCCCAAGACCACCAGGAACAATAAATTGTGGATTTATGACAGACTGTAACAACAAAAGAGCACAGGGAGTTATGACAAGGAGAGTGGATATATTTCATGTGGGGGCAGGAATGTTGTAGGTGCTGTTTATATTTCCAGCCTGGRTCCTTTATCAAGATGATAAATAGAACTTTCTCACCTCTCTGGCACTGTGGCCCGTAGAAACCAGAAGGACACGAGCACATATTTGGCYGTACACAGACTCCTCCATTCAGGCACACAGGATTGCACACAGCTGGATGGRAACACAAGGTAACTTCATGAATCTCTGATAAGGTTGAACTTTTTAGAGTAGGCACTCTTTTTCTGCTGCACATGCCATTAGAATTAATATTTCTTGTGATAATGGGAAAAGTTTCATGCAATCTTTGCTGGTCAGTTGTGCTGCAGTATTTATTCATGSTCGACACAGTGGGAGCATTTCAGTGTTTCAGTGGTGTTTTAGCATAGCTTGGGGGATGAAACAGACTATAAATTAATGTAATAATTTAATTTATTTCGGATGTRTTCCTTTGATTCTCACAGCTCATTTATTTCCATTCCAGTATTCTCACCAAGCACGATCCCAAGGTAGTCAATGTAGTCAAATAAAATACACCCTGGCTAACCTGGAGATGAGATATTAATTGTTTGCTGCTTTGTCTGCGTTCAGCAGAGCATCGTGGCATTTCCTCAGACTTGAATAGGTGTGCACCAAAAAACCTGTTTGTTCTGCCTCATTTAAATGCCAGTTCTCACAACACATTGGCTCATTCATCACCAACAAAGCCMCTGGCTGAGCTCCCTTTGCCTCTTTATGTATCTGTTATTACTGYAGGTGATACAACAGGCATTAGGAATTAAAAGCTGTCTTGCATATTTCTATGTGGCAAGTACCAGACTGCTAAAAAAATCCCAACTATTAGAATTGCAAATTGATTTAGATGGGAAGTCATGTGAAGAATGAGGAAYCTGATAAACTTTTCATTGTAAAGCTTTAAATCAGCCTTTTTCCTTCTGTTCCCTTTGTCTTTCAGTATCTTACAGAGTAGCCCATTAAATAAATTAAATGTGTTTAAGCTTAAATAAATTAAGGGYCAGTAAAATGTTTCAGATGAACTAAAGAAGAAATAAAATGTCCCTTTGGAAAGAAAAAAAAATGAAATTGTAGTCTAAATGAGAGGCTTTTCTGCCTAAGGAGAGTCACTTATGAAGTCAAAATGGATTTCATTCATTGCTCAATGGGAACTTGGTTTTGTCACCTCATTGTCCTCGTTCATCCTAGTTCAAAGATGTCCATATTCTTGTCACTCTGTCAGTGTTTACATTTCCAGTGGACAAGTCCCCTTTTCTAAATTTTTATACTTGCATTCTTCCCAAGATTCCTATCATATCACTTGAGGTGGGAAACCCCAGCAGTGTCTACAAAATACTCTGTGTAAGTGACTCTGGTAAACTTTCACCAAAGCTGTCAGCAGACAAAAAATCCTGCTGCTGTTAATCTGGTCTGGAATTTACTGCCACTGCTGCTCATTGCCTGTCCTTCTCTTGGATTGATCCTATTCAAAGCCACACCAAAATAAAATTGCAGAACTCCTCGAGAAGAAAAAGCAGAGGCAGAACCAGAAYAGCAGTGACAATCCCAGTAATTTCCTGTGGATCATAGCTGGGCTAATTTACGTGTCCTCAGTAGGTCTGTCATTTTAACACTTACAGGAAGAACAATCTCCGAGAGATGGAGGTTAAAATGACATCTCTCACCTTCCAGGAAAGGTAATRTAGGCTGAAGGTGTCTCAGTCATTTAATATTCACCGTGGCACAGGCAGATGTCTCTGGAGCTTTGAGGTCTGGCGCTGATTAAGGCAGTCCTTGTCTTTTAATATTTCACTATTTTACCTGCCTTGTCCCAGGTGAGTGCTGTAGTTTCTGTGCTTTTGGAGGAAAATATCTACTCCAGCTTTGAGGATTTGGATGCTGAGAGGAGGGTCTGAGCTGTGTGTGCTCAAAACTGTGAGTCCTGACTAGAAAAAGGTGCCTAATTCCAGTCCTCACCTCGTCATTTTGTACTGATAAGCGGAGGTGGCTTTTCCCCAATCTTCCACACTCCTGTGGATGCTTTTTGGAGGTGTTCTGCAAGTACGAGATGCAGGCAGGAGGAGCAGTGTGAATTCTGGCAGCAGTGAATGCTAAGAATGAACTCCAGAATCACACACGTTTAAAAAGCCCCAAAAAGGTTTTGTTTGTGGGTTCTGTCCATATAACCCTGAGATTTAGAAAAACCTCTAAACTTACATAAAGGAATACTTACATAAACATCTAAACTTATGAATAGTTGCATAAACTCAATGCCTTCCGAGGTTTTGCCCTGTACTTGGTCTCCTGTTCTTGGGCTTTAATTCTTGAAGCAGCAACTCCAAATCTGAGCACCGAATTTTAGGAACCACAGGGATTTCAGGTATCAAAGGGCACCATCAGTCATTTCCAGCCACTTACCTGTCTCACAAGAGGGGCTGCTTCACCCATGCCTGCATTTGCACTCATCTGGGGACACGCAGACCCCTCCATTGTGGCAGTGCCTGTTACACACCACTGGAAAATACACAAAAAATCAGAATCTTTCATCACCAACACCAGTGCAGATCCTAAAGCTCCTCTATTACATCCAATAATTAATAGTGCTAGTCCATGCCATAAACTGAAGATGGGCTGTCCCTTTCCTTGGTTTTCTTTCTCTGTTAGAAGCCATATACATAAAGTTATCTGCTTTTTAGCTATTCCAGCTACTTGGGTTCATAGATAAAATTATATTATTCTCAAGGGCAATCTGATATTTAAGTAAGCACCGAGAACTTTATTGGTAGAAGTGCATGTTTTGCTTATATAGAAGAGGTTGAAGACTGATTTTTAGACAGTCTCCCTATTAAACCTCTTCTCAAACTTGTACTGCAGATTTACATAGCTCTTAATAGCTATGGGATGGTATTTTGTGTTCTCAAAATCAGCATTACTACATTCACTCAAAAACTTAAATTTGATAAATATTACTACAAAAAGCATGAATGTATTTGCTTCTTTGTTTGTTTTCCAGAAGCATTTTCAGGTAGAAAACGTTGATTTAGACGTGCATAGTTTTACATAATACAATTGTGCTACTGGTAATTGTATGGTCTGAAATAGCTACTGTATTACTACAGTGTTCCATCCTTTGCATTCAATAATCATTTTAAGGGGAAATATAAGGGGAAAAAAGAAGAAAAAGGCTTTTTTAGAAAAAAAACCTTGTCATTTTCTGCTAATTGAAACATGTAACGGAGGAAACCTGAGCGAGTTCGTACGTACTTGTTTCGCATCGAGGCCCTACAAACCCRTAAGCACAAGAACAAACGTTCTGGGGCAGACAAATTCCTCCATGCTCACACGGTGGCTCACACTGCACTGCAAGAGTGAAAAACGAGGAAAAAAACCAGCTCAAACATTGCATTCTCTATGGTTACAAACACAGCACAGGCTACTTCTTCCCCCATCCCATTTTATTAATCCAGCCAGTAATTTGGCTGAGGAAAACACTGCMGGAGAGCAGTGGGTGTCACATTAGCAATACAGCACTAATGAGCAGCTGTAAAAAGTCTGCAAGGCAATGGTTTTAACATAATCATATTTAACTTCTGAGTGTGCACATTTTTAAGTATGTGTKTTTGAAGGCTAGGGGTGGATGAAGTAAAAATGCAGTTGATACTCGAGAYCTTACCCGTCCCTCTCTACAAATTTGCCTTGTGGATGGGCAGCAAACCTTAACAGGTGTCAGAACTCAAAAAGGGTAGAGGTTGTGTTCCTTCCTTATAGAAAAGAGTTGTATGTGAATTTTTCACCCAAATGGCCAACATTCAAGCAAAAAAAAATTAATATTTAATGAGTAATATGAGTTCTGCAGACAAAGCAGTAAATTAAATAAAGATTTCTTGATTTATTGCAGTATGCAATGTGATTCTGGGGATGAAAGAGGATGGGCAGCTGTGTGGAAAGGACAGTAGCTCCTGATAGGGGATATTTGCTGAAGGCATGCTTGTTTTTTACAAATATTGACCATTATGAATCTAAAAACTTTATTGTACAGGCAGCCTGGAAGTTTTGGCCCCTTATACCTAAGGCAGGTATCTTCTATAGAGGCTTCTATTTGACACCCTCTAAGAGGTAATTGTGTATGGTGAACTCAAGAGAGGGGGGAGGAAAATCACTGAAGGGACAAAATGGTCAGTGAAGGGACAGAATGGTCAGTGAAGGGACAAAATGACCACTGAAGGGACAGGATAACCATTGACACTCAAAGGAGAAGACTGTAGCAGGAACAGAGAAAAAACTGTGCCAGAGGAATCTCACGCCTCTGGGAAAATGAAAGGCACCTCACAGACCAGAATGAAAAATGTCTTCCCTTGTGTGTGGGAAGTGAACACAGAGAAAAATGTTGTACTTTGGCTCACTTCACTGGCAGGGTTTTGTCTTTTATGAAGGATATGAAGCTCAGCAAGGTTATTCCAAGGAAAATGTAAAATGAGGCTAACGAAACCTGAAACCAAGCATCTTTCATTTWAAGTATTGTTACAAGGGAAGAGAACCTTAATGCACCACATTTTGTTATTAAAACTGGAAAAAGGTCTGTGTAAATGGAAAGCTAAATGAAGGACAAATTCTTGGGGTAGCACATAATTTAAATGCAGTTATTGTGTTGAACACCTCCTCACCTCTTGTGATTGTCACCAAGCCATGGAATATGAACTTTGCTATCCAAAAAAATAATGAAAACCCTCACACATTTTCAAGTTGCAATAAATAAGACAAGCTCCAAGCAGGTGCTTTTAAATAAACAATTTTGACAGAAATAGCATTGAAGAAATACATTTGATATTGAACTGTGAAATTTTCAATGCTGCATTATATAACTTTAGGATTTGACCTGCCTGAGAACAGAAAACTTACAAGGTGCATTTCAGATCCATACTGTATATGCTGAGAATGTCATTAATCTAGATTTAATTTTCATGTTATGGCCTGTAAGGTTTAGACATTTGCAAATCAACGTGCGCTTAGCTGAAATTCCAAGAGCACTACTGTTCAAAAAAAAGGATAAAACCAAATGACCTTAATTTGGATAACTAAATAGATTTAGATAGGTTTAGGTTAGATATTAAGAAGAAATTAATTGAYATGAAGATGGTGAGGCATTGGCACAAGTTACTGGCAGAAGTTGGGGCAGCTCCATCCATGGAATTGTCCAAGGCCAGGCTGGATGGAGCWTGGAGCAACMTGATCTTGTGGATTTCTTTGCAATTAGAAATTAAAAACTGGACGAATTGGCTAATAATATCTGCGTGGAGATAAAGGGAGCACAAAACCTGGGGAAAAAAAAAAAATGCAGCACTCTTTTCAGAGTACATTAAATGTGATTGCCTTTCCTGTAGGATGATGGTTGCATAAAGCCTCCAGGTGCCTGAGTGCTGTGCCAAACACGGTGACATTCAAGCACATTTTGCTTTATTTCAGCGTRGTTTGTGTGCAGCACTTAAAGCAAGTGTGTCCGTGTGAATGGAGCACTTTCCATCTGGCCTTTGCACATTCCAAGATGCATCTGAACTGTCAGAAAAGAACGTGGTATTTTGGATATTAAAACATTTMGCTCTTATGGTGACATTTAATAGTAAAATGTTTAAAACTGTTCTATTACCGGTGAATAGCAAAAGATAAAAAACTGAACACTGGCTCCTCTGTGAGATTGAGAGTAATATTCACTTAAAAGACATTTCCCACTGTAATAGAAATATACTGCTTATGTCAAATTCTTTTCCCAAACTTCTATCTTTCATCTCCTGGAATGAATGTGTTTTTCCATGAGCATTTGCTAAATTGTAGAAAGGTATTGCAGTGTTTTTATACTAAGCGRTTTTGGATAGGAAAAAATAACAGCAAAGAGGAAAACATTGCTGCAAATGGTCAATCTTGCTGTCAAGTGTACATATGTTTATGTTTACARTTTAAAATCTGGAGGTGAAAATGGAGAAGTGCATTATTGTTTTCTTTGAAAAGGCTTTTTGGGAAATATCCCCAAACTTCTATTTTCCATTAAAATGAGATCATGAACTTTTTACAAGTTTCTYTGCAATAACTTTGGGGGCACTCAGGAATACCAGATGCTGTGTTGTTTCCCTCATTTTCCGTAGCCTAATCAGCAAATGTCTTCCAGGACAGAGTTATTGCTCAGCATCTCAACAGTGAGCAAGTCCCTGCACCATCCACAGCGAGGCCCTGGGTCTGTGTGAATAAAGCCAGGCTTGGAGCTGGGAGAGCAGTGACTGCTTAAAATTTTGAACAAGAGTCAGATCAGGACAGACTTCACTGAACAGAACATAGTCTGCCTTGTTTCATTGTACATTATTTATTTCCATTCAAAGATACATTAACCTAACTTCCTAAATGTGCAGATTAAGTTTTAATATATTCAGCACAAGGTGAGATGGAAAAAAGGAAAATAAAGTTATTAGATTATTGTTTTTTTCTTTTGAAAAGGTGTGGACTGAAGCACTCTTTTTGCATGTAAGATGAACAGAGAAATGAAATGAAGCGTAGGATTAAAACATGTGTTACTGCAATTAAATTAACTCATTGCATATTTAAATAATCCAGCAGTCTGGAGCCCAGTTGTAAGAAAAATGTCCATCATAGCAACTARAATATTAACAAGAGAAACTTGACTGAATAAATTGGGAATACAAATGCAGACACCAGCTCTGGTTAGGTTGTACTAATGGGTTTTGTTTTGTGAAATGTCAGCTGAGTGCTCATCTGCAGTCAAAAAAAAACCAAATAAAATGTTAAGAATTGTTAAGAAAGGAGCAGAGCACAAAATGCCAGGCTTCATTATGGTCTCTATCCATCATGAGCTCCATCTTAAATACCATGGGTAGGTCTGACCCCCCCAACTCAGAAAAGATTTCCCCTTCCCTTAGAAAATACTGTGCAAAGCCAATAAAATATACCAGAGTTTTACTGACTTCACCCTTCTAAGAATATTTTCTAAAGTAGYATAACTTTATCTCCAGTAGGAATGCTGAGGATCTTTTATGACTGCTAAAATACTGGAAAGAAAGTCCTTAACTGTCTACCTAATCCAAAATGGTTTTAAATAATTGTCTTTATTCTGTGAAATGGAGACTGACTTTTTAATGGTACAGTTTTAGTGACCAAACACTCCCTACCAAAGGAGCTTGGAGACAAAGAAACCAAAAAAAAACCCAATGACCAGAAATTTGGAGGTCTAAAATACCAACAAATATTTCAGAGCATCAGCCCCAAAGGGTGCAAATCGCTGCAGAAAGTGGGCTGTTTGTAACACCCAGACAAAATATCAGGAATGCTCTGCTATGGCTTGTTCTGCATTATGGCAGTGCAGGTTTTTATTGAACTGGCACACAGAGCTGTTCTGTTTTCTGCTCGTGCTCTGACGCTCCTGCAGCGCCCTTTGGCAGGTGATTCGTGCTGCCCCGAAAACTGCTGGAAGGAGACTGTAACAATGCATTGGGTTTTACTGCAAATATCCTTGGAAACGGCACTCAGAGTGAAAATTAGGTGTTTAGCAACCTCCCTCATCACCAGAGCTTGGCTGAGCTTACTCCAGAAATGCCAGGGAGCATCTTCTGCGAGAGAAAATGTGGGAGAATCCAATGGTCTACAGCAGGTCTTACCTCCCTGSTTGTGTTTTATTTATTTTTATCTCCAAAACACTGCTCTGAAATGAAGTTTTTAAAGCTGGTCTGTTTGGCTGTGAAGGCTTAACATCAGGCCACTAATAAATTGTTATAYTCCCTTTGTGCAGGAAGGAAAAGASCTGCWGAGTCTTGAGGAAATGCTTCATCTCTCCTCACCTGCAGAGTATGTMGCTGCTAACAGGCTTAAAAGAATTAATAATCTGTAATTCTTACTGCACCAAATCAAGATTAAAAATCAGAGTTCTATTCCTTACAGACAACACAGATGTCAATACAGGGAGTGTATTGAAGGGAGTGATCCGAATGAAAACTGCTAAAATCATCTGAAAATATCTCAGTTTAGGTGCCTGRATAGAAGCCAAATACACTGACATTTAGCTGTGCTCTTCCAAAAGAAGGCAGGAGGTTACACCTGATGGTTCCCAGAGCTCTCTTCTATCCTCTGGTCCTGTGAGCCTGTGACCCCCAGGGCAGGATGACAAAGCAGAGGCAGGGGACTTCAAAATGGACCATGACAGGGAGACTGAGGGGCTTGCCCAAAGGGACAATAACATTAAAGATATAAAATGTTTATAATATACTTTAGAAATGAAATTAATTTTCAGGATGCTGCTTATTTTTCTTTTTAATTTACTACTCCTCCAAGCCTATGTATCTGCACATTTGGAAAAAAAAAAAAAAAAAAGCATTCTATCACAAAACAAATACCACTTGGTACAGTACTTCTTATTTTAGAGTATTTTCAGACATTCTTATTAAACAAAGGTCACACTCCCTGAAGATCCAAAGGTATTAAAACTTGCTATCAGTGGGCTGGTTCTTTTATCTTGTTGAATTTTGATATGAAATAAGATGGTGATAACTATCAATAGTGTCTGAGTCTCTTGACATTTTTTTTTCTCCCTTGCCAAGGGTGCCGTGTTGAAACCTGGAGATTTTGCAAATGTTGGTCTCATCTAAGCTTTGATTTTCTGCCCAATATTTCTGCCTGCTGTTCTTAGAGGRCACTCCTGTCTTGAGGGGAGTTGGTGTTGTTTTGTGGGCACTGCAAGGTGCTAAAAGCCGAGGTTATGACAGGCTTTAATCCAATAAATCACCCTCATTTGTCAGCCTTGTTTGCCATGGTGAATCAGCTGTGTCTGACAGGAGAGASACATTCATGGCTGGAGGTACAATGGGTGCTCTTCACTGCCCTGGCTGTGCTCCAGGGTTTAGGAGGGCAGGGATGGAGCAGAGGAGGGAAGGGATGGGCTGATTACTGACTCAGGTGTCATGGGCAGTGACAACAGACAAAAAAAAATATGTTTGTGCATCGTGTCACCGAGCCCCAAGACTCAGAATGATGTTGGTAATAAACTATTTCATCCTAAGCACTCTTCAGGGAGATTTTCAGCAATACCAGTAATGAAGAAAACGTCTTTCAGTAAAARGCAGAGGTAGATTTACATTTGAAGGCAGATTTATGTTTTAAGGACTACAGTGATGGGCATATTGAACATGCACACAGCAGCTGCATGTCCACACCTGTAAATATTCACATGGATATGGGCCTGGCTTCGAGGGGAGGCTTTTCTGAGATCAGATTTTGAGCTTCCCAGGACCATGAGCTCTTTGGTGCTTTTCCACCTCCAGGTATAAAACAGAGGTCAAAGACTCCTTTGTGCCCAGTAACCTTCAGTCCTTCAGGAGGAGCAATTCAAAAATGTGCAAATAGGCAAAGAAATTATAGAGCCCAAGATTACATTAACCTTTTCTTGTACATTTTGTACTTTTTCTGCAGCAGTGCTCTGAGCTCAGAGGGTCACAGCAGTGCTGGAGGCTTCACACCCCCAAAAATCCTGACTTACAGTAGGGAATCCCTGCAAGACCCTCCACAGCACAGCACAGCACAGCTGAGACCCCCCTACTCTGTGCATGAAGGATGAGAGAACAGAGAGAAAGAGAGKGGAATAAAAAATACAAAYAATTTTACTTTGTGTGGTGGAAGGCCAGTTAAGATATCAACTCATCAGAGGGAAGTCAACAAAAGGTGTGATTAATGATAGCAAAGTCAGGGAATTCATTGCTTCAACAAAGGGCATAATCCTATTGTTTTACAGAAGGATTCTCAGGTTCCTAATAAATAACTCAATATGTTGTKAAAACCCTTCTGGTGTTACAAGATGACAAGTTCAGTTTAGTATTTAAGATGTTAGATAGATATTTWCAAGCAATTTTTAAGGTATTAGAAAAATTAGTTTTTCCTAGAATATATGTTGTTTAGAGAAGTGAARTCAATTTTACTCTTTCTCACAGAAGTTTTATGGAGTTTTGAATGTGATGACTTTAGTAGAATGAATCTGGCATTAARCAAGATCACAATCTGTCCCTGGTTTTAATAGATTAGATAGTATCAAATAAATATGTCATTTTTGTAATCAGAAAGAGCCATTTCAAAGTATAGATTTTATTTATTATTTTGAAATATAATTGGTTTTGAAAACAGAACGGTCCCATCCACAAAAGTCTCCAAATTTATAATAAAAAAATAATTTTTATTTTGGAGAATGATTAGACTTGGAGTTATGAGAGYGTTTTAAAGAGGATTTTCTCCCTTACCTTCACATGTAATTCCATCACCGCTGTAGCCAGGAGGACAAGGACCACATTTAAACCCTCCATCTGCAGCTGGCTGGCACTGCACCCCAGTGAAACACATCAGATGAGCACACCCAGCTTTGTGATGCACCCCAGTGCTGCTTCCTGGCAGTTCCACACCATCCCTTGCTCTGTTGAACGATTTCCTGGCTGCTGTGCTCTGTGCAGGATGCTTCACTCTGGGARCAAACCCTGCTGGAATGCTCTGGGAAGATTCATCCAGGGAAGAAWTGATCAAATGGTGATGGGAAGGGATGGGTGTCACCAAAGGAGATGCTCTGAGCTGCTCTGTTGGGAAACCTTGGGGTGGTTTAGTGCTCCAGACTGGACCGGGCCATTTCCTGGGAGGATAACCATGTGTGGAACGAGCCAGCTGAGCAGTGTGTGACCATGTAGAATACAAACCTGAATTTGTGTGGGGATGAGGAGGAACAGCCCGTGCTGTGGCTGGTTTGTGCTCTGGAAATGGAGAGGGGTCCCACTGACACCTGGGTGGAAAAAGGGGCTGTGTGGGTCACTTCTCTTATCAAGAAGAGGTTGTTTCTCAGGAGCTGTGAACTCCATTTCAGGCAATGTCTGAGTTTGGGCACTCTTCCTTTGTATGGCAAGGGATGGAGTGTGAATGGCTGTGGGGTTTCTTTCCAAAAAGAATGGAATATCTTGTCTTGGGATTTGGGGTTGGGAAAGAAGGGAAAATACATTTCTTGGTGTCTTAGATACATCTTCCTGGTGAGAGCTTTGAGCATCTTCAATGTTTCCTCCTGGAAAATCCACATGGCTTTGAGAAGATCTTGAAACTAGGGCAGAAGGAGATATATATTAGCTAAATTCACTGGTCTGGAGTTTAAAGGAACCACAGTGAGCTTATGGGTTTGGAGGAAACAACAGAACATCAATTCAAGAAGTAAAAAATTGTCAACATTAATTAATTGTCAAATAAGCTAAGGGCAGGTTATTCAAAGGGTGGTGGTTCATGAACCAGAGGAAATATATTTTTGGAGACTTAGCACCTGAGGCAGCAAGTCTCAGGGAAAGTCAGGCATTATTTGAGGGGCAGCACTGGGCTGACAAGTAGAGATTAAACTCCAGCCAAGTGAAAAACACTTGCCATGCTGGTTTATTAATTTTGGCTTGCACTAATCCACGAGGTTCGGGTACTGTGCAGCTTTTTCTTGTGGTGAATCTTCCAGTTCCTGACCTCCAACATTTGCTTTGTATTACCTGGCTGTACCTCAGTGCTGTGCTGGGAAATGTTCTGCAGGGTGTAACTCAGAGAGTTTTCATTGCAGCTCTGTAAGCCAAGGAGACAGGACACTGCAATTTGGCACTGGAGATGCAGAAACACRATGTTAACGTGGCCCTTGGTGAGATCATGCCCTAGAGAGACTCCAGTGCTGTCACACTGGTGATTCTGGACTGTTTCTGGCAAAGGGAGGTTTTAGGGAAGCATTCAAAGGAGACAAATGGGAAAGCTTTGCTGGAGCTGCTCTCAGCTTCCTCCCGAGGAGGGGCAGCGTGGGACGGAGCCGCTCTGTCCCTGTCACCCGCTCAGCCCAAAGGCCTCCACCTTTTCAGCAGTGTAAGGAGGGATGATGGATGGGCAGAGGGGACTCTGTGAAGGGCCTTGAAAGTGGAGAAGAGTCGTTTGAATCAATACTTTCAGGAAGATTAATGGCCATCTGCTGACGCTAATGAATGGAGGAGGCTATTTTTAACCGGTTCTGGCATCCTCKCTCCGTAGGATATGGAATGTGTTGGATCCTGAACAAAAAACCCTCACTCGGTTCTGGGGTTAACCCCATGCAGGATGCACCTCTTTCTGTTAAATATCAATAATAATTGCTTTCTAAAATCTCCCGTTGATGGGGATCTTAAGCACATTCAGCAAGGAAGGAGATTCGGGTGCTTGGCAAGGGTCAAATAAAAGTTGTGGCATTGACTGGACCAGAGCTAATCCTGGAAGCCAAAGCTGTGTTTGTTTGGCTGGTAAATAGTGTCATTCTGCTGGCAGATGATGAGTTTCTTTTGCTCTGGAGCATAATGTTTTGGGATTTACAGTGGTGCTGGATCGAGCTATGGCCATCAGTAGGTAAATACATGGTGTTTAGTGGAACAACAGGCAAATACATGGATTTCAGTGTCCAGAGCAAGGCTGGTGAATGATGAGAGACACAGACTGGGAGAAGAGAGATGATGAAGCAGGGAGGACATCAGCAAAAGGAGAATGTGAAGAGAGGGGAAGTCAAAGGACCTTTAAAAATGAATGAATGAAAGAAAGATTAAAGAAATATCTCCACAGAAAATTATCGGTAATAGATGATCATTACAGCCCTTAGAAAATTTGATTCAGRGACCAGAAATCAACAGGAATGACAGTGAAGGACTGAATGACCTCTCTGAMAAATTTCCAAAATGAGCCCTGATTATAGCTTTGAGCTCCTTCCACTATGTCATAATTAAATGGGTTTTCCTCCTAATTAAATTTGAGTAACTAGTAAGGGGATCAGACTGACTACCTGAGAAAAGGAAATCTTTTATTTCTTTAGCAGATGATAGAGGTGAGCTACCCATCCTTCAAAATAAGCTTTATCTATTTTCCCTGTGAGGGGGGAGCACAATGTTGGAATGTTTCTGTGATAATGTCATTTTTACATCTCAAATACTACCAATGAAGAGTAGTGATCCATTTTTGTTGGTTATTCATTATGATATATACTGATCACAGTCCCTCAGCCACTTTTTAGAGGTGACTGAGCTTCATAAGATGTTGGTGTCATTCAAATATGATGACCAKGGAGTCCTTTCAGCTTTCATTTTTTCATATTTTTGCTTATATTGATAGTATGCAATTTAGTTCAGATAAGAACACGATAGATTTTTTCAGGAATACCCCAAATTTTTTTTCTGCAGTCTTCCAGATATCTAAATAAGCTAAAAAAAAAGAAAACAAACCAAAAGAATGCAGACTCAGTTGTCTGTAGTCAGCAGCTTTCTCAAATCCTGCATTACTTCAATTTATTTTCCTTTCTGTTGATCAATATCTTCAAATGTATTACCCATTATCAATGCAAACTGTGAGTGTGTGAATCTGTTTTTCCCTGCTCTGCCAGCATATGATTACATATTGGACTGGATGAAATCACAAAAAACCCCAAGAAGACAAAGTGTTCAAGGTTATATGGAGGAACAAAACCTCTTTTTTTGCTACCCGTCAGTATTTCTGCCCATCCTAACAGGGAAATGTGCAGCAGTGGAATAATTGAGTTTWTTTTTCACAGAGGTAGATAAGACACCGAGACCTTGCTGCTCTGCTCCAACTGTTCAAGGCAGGACCTCTGTTTGGATTGATGGAATACCCCACTGCTGGCAGAGTGTCATTCCCACATGGATCAGGTCCCAAGAAGACAGATTCCTCTGTCATCGCCTGTCTGGGCAAGATTAGAGCAARGGTGACAGAGGGCAAATTTCTGAGACACAGGTTTAACATCCCTCATCCAGCTCCACACAGGGACACTTCCCATCTCGGGGTGCAGGAGTGCCCCAGCCTGAGATCCTCCAGCCTCTGGCTCTCCCAGACTTTCACACAAATCAGACCTGTCACAAACAGCCCCTGCTTTCCAATGCCATCACAGTGTTGCCAAGGCACAGCAAATTCTGACTTCTTGTGTCGCTTGAATTCCATTTTATTGTGAACTACTAAATAGCTGTAGTTGAGGAGGATCGTGTTCATTCCAAAGGGAATAAAGTGTCTACTTAAGATGGTGAAAACAGCCATTCACARACAGAGAAGGTACTCGACAGCTCTTAAAGCCAGGGTGAGAAAACAACAACATTCAAAAACAGAAAAGAAATCCAATGTATTTTTTCTCTTCTGAATTTGTAGGTTTGTTTTTTTTTTTTTTTTTTTAATTTTACATTTACAATCTTTCAGGAAAAAAAAACAGATCCAGATTTGAATTAAGAGAAGCCATGTCCCCTTCAGACCCCAACTATTTCTGCTCCCACTGAAGCAGCACACATTTCACACCCGGCCTAGAAGAGAATGAACCAGGTTGGTTACCATTGTCCTTGGTGCTTTTCCCCACATCTTTGCTGGGATGTAATCTCAAGCATTTCTCTCTCTTTTAATTTGATAAAATTATAYCCAAAATTAAACCCTAAATCTTCAGGAGGAGACTGGCTTCTCCTCCTTAACAAACTGCTCTGGCTGTGGCTACTTCTTCCTGTCACTTCAGAGCATTATGGGCACCTTTAATTCTGCTCAAGTTACAACTCTTTCAGAATTCTGTGAGCAGTTTAAGAATTCATTATTAACACAATTCAATAAATTTACAATTTGTGTAGTCTTAGAGCTATTAACATTTAGTAGTACCTGCTGTCCAGCCCATTTCTCATTCAGAAGAATGTTGGCAGAGAAATGCTCTTTTGACATATTACACTATGTGGGTCATCATTTAAAATTTGAAACATCTACCAGCACATAAATCTTATTTAAAATGTCAAGAGAGAGCAGAAAAATTACACTGGTCTAAGAAGTCTTGTTACCAGAGTGCTAAGGATATTCCCATTTCCCTCTGTATGTTTCCATGYTARTATTTTTTTTTCTGTATTTACTTGGTGAGAAAAGGGAAACAGGAGCAGCTGTCAATAGGATGCTCCAGGGAAATTCTGTTTTTTTAATAAATTCTTAGTCTYTTATTTTATATTATTATGTTCTGGCATTACTTTCTCTTCTTAAGAGCTTGTTTAATTCCTAAATCTCTTGTTTTGCCATCCAGGCATACCCTAATGTCTTCCCTCTTCTAAATATTCAGTAATATAGCTTTTATTCTCCCTTCCTTCCTCTTAAGCACCCCAAAGTTCCCCACTGTAGATGCTGTTGGAATTCCATGTCAGCAYATCCCTTCTCCTAGAATCACAAGCAGTAACTCTCAGAATAAATTCCTCATCACCTTTAAGTGAAATACAGCTTCAACTCCCCAAGTTCTACAAAGGGTGTATTTCCAGGATTATTTTTGCAGCAAAAAAAAAGCATTTCAAAGTCTTGTTTTGATTGGGATATTAGTACAAATTTAGGTGGGAGCTTAACTTTGCACCTTCAGATCCTTTACCTATTTTCATAGGTAAAAAAATTGAAAAGTCAAATGTGTTGTGAAGGAGTTTAGGGGCACACAACTCCTCTGCTTCAGACTCTCTGTTTGTCAGTGTGGCTGCACAATTCTCTGACACCATTCATAATTTCCAAGGCAAATTTGTCTTGTGCCAATGAAATCATTCTGTTCTAACACAACATTTCCGTGGAGGAGAAACCCAGGATCTTCAGTAGCTCACCCACTAAACCTTGTTTATGAGCCTCTGTGTGTTCAGAGTAAATGATTCTCACAAATGGAATGGGGTCTAGACTTTGCCATCAAAGAGGTCCTTTTCCAGTTCTGGGATGTTGAAAACTTATGTGAGTATACAAGAAAATATTACCTCAGTGTGAGATAGTGAATTTGCTTATGTCACATTAAAGGCCATTTGTATTGTTTGCAGTTCATTTCCTTCAAGCGTTTCAGAACAATGTTTGACATCTCAATTAATTTACTGATGTATTTAAAGAAAATGGGGATTCTGAGATGACTGGCCAAGAAAGAAACATTTCCTGAACATACAAATTGTATTATTGACTACATAACAAAGTTTTCAGTCTTATCTAAGGTATGTTAAGGAACATAGAAGATCATCCCTTTCATACTGAACAAATACAGAGCAATTATCAGAAAGATTTTGCTTAGTTATAGCTCTTTATCTAATA